ACGATATAGCTGATGAACAACAATGTATACACGATCTAGCTGATGAACAACAATGTATACACGATATTTCTGATGAACAACAATGTATACACGATATAGCTGATGAACAACAATGAATACACGATATTGCTGATGAACAACAATGAATACACGATATTGCTGATGAACAACAATTTATACACGATATTGCTGATGAACAACAATTTATACACGATATTGCTGATGAACAACAATTTATACACGATATTGCTGATGAACAACAATTTATACACGATATTGCTGATGAACAACAATTTATACACGATATTGCTGATGAACAACAATGGATACACGATATTGCTGATGAACAACAATGTATACACGATATTGCTGAATAACAAGAATCAGCAACCCGTCTATTTGCTGATGATACATCTCTTAAAAAATCTGCTTCTTCATGTCGGGGAATAGAATTAATTTTAAATAGAGATTTAAAAAATGAAATAAGTGGACAAAATCTTGGCTTGCTACTTTTAATCCAATCAAAACTGAGGTTGTTTTTATATCAAATTCAGATAATATTGATGAAAATCTTGACTTAAATTTTGATGTATTGTTTTGAATTTCAGTAGTTGCATAGACATCTTGGGGTCGTTTTTAATTCAGATGCAAAATGGTCTGATCACATTGATGACATTTATAATTCAGTAATGAAAAATGAGTAATGCCTTAAGAAAAGTTAAATGTATGTTAAAGCGTGATGCTCTATTGGGAATTTGCAAATCATGTATATTACCTGTTCTCGAATAGGCGTGTGGGGTTAGGGATGGATTAGCTTCAGGAAAGGTAAACCGGGCACGGCGTGAAGCAGCAAGAATAATTACTGGATTACCATATTAGGCAAAAAATGAATCTTTATATATTGAATCAGAATTATGATTAATTACTTTCCGATAGAAGAGCTAGAAGAAAACTTCAATTATTATAGAAGATGAACATGAAAATGACTCCAAGCTATCTATCAAATCTATTACCCCCACAGTAGGTGTAAACAATCCATATGCTTTTAATAATGAAGACAACTGTAGAATTCCAAATCTTTCTTACCTTCTACATTAAATAACTGGAACACTTTAGATGATAGTATTAAATTTCTGCCTCTCCCATCTTTTAAACTAACTCTATCCCAACAAATTCCCACAAGTCAGCCCTGTTACTATAGGTATGGTGAGAGAGAAATAAATAGTATACATACTAGACTAAGACATCAATGTAGTTCTCTTAAAGGTGATCTCTTCCGTGTTATTTTAGTTCAGGGTTCTAATTGAGTTAATTGTTGGCACCATTGTGAAAATGCTTATAATTCTGTTTTGAGTGCCAATTTCATTCAAATGCTCGTGCAGTAGAATGCTTAAAGCTTTTAATAATTTAAATATGCAAATAAGCTTATACTTGTTACTCTTTGGCAAAGAAAACCAGGCTTTGGATGTAAATTGTAATGTATTCGAACATGTGCAGTCCTTTAAAGAATCTAGCGGAAGATTTTGAACACAAACTATATGTGTATATTTATTACAATGTACGTGTAATTGACTTCATTGTCATCACTTGTACATATATAAAATAGTTTGTTGATAGGAGATGGCTTCATAATTTATTATAACTTGTACCAAATCCTTTGTACCAATTTTGGACAACAAAGTATGTTTAAAGTAAAACAAAAGATATAACGAGTCCGCACAAACAATATTACTTGTGTAGAGCAACACACACAAGGACAAATCGGTCTACACATATATCTAGTTGAGGCAGCTTATGTTTTTATAAATACATAAAAAGCATTTAAACAGTAAGTTTTCTTTTCAGGTATATTAAACTTGTCGTTTCCTGTCATACCTTACCATATACCTTACCATAGAGCCAGAGAAATACCTCTATTGTTCTAATCTGTAAACGGTCATGGTATGGAGGTAAACGGTCATGGTATGGAGGTAAACGGTCATGGTATGGAGGTAAACGGTCATGGTATGGAGGTAAACGGTCATGGTATGGAGGTAAACGGTCATGGTATGGAGGTAAACGGTCATGGTATGGAGGTAAACGGTCATGGTATGGAGGTAAACGGTCATGGTATGGAGGTAAACGGTCATGGTATGGAGGTAAACGGTCATGGTATGGAGGTAAACGGTCATGGTATGGAGGTAAACGGTCATGGTATGGAGGTAAACGGTCATGGTATGGAGGTAAACGGTCATGGTATGGAGGTAAACGGTCATGGTATGGAGGTAAACGGTCATGGTATGGAGGTAAACGGTCATGGTATGGAGGTAAACGGTCATGGTATGGAGGTAAACGGTCATGGTATGGAGGTAAACGGTCATGGTATGGAGGTAAACGGTCATGGTATGGAGGTAAACGGTCATGGTATGGAGGTAAACGGTCATGGTATGGAGGTAAACGGTCATGGTATGGAGGTAAACGGTCATGGTATGGAGGTAAACGGTCATGGTATGGAGGTAAACGGTCATGGTATGGAGGTAAACGGTCATGGTATGGAGGTAAACGGTCATGGTATGGAGGTAAACGGTCATGGTATGGAGGTAAACGGTCATGGTATGGAGGTAAACGGTCATGGTATGGAGGTAAACGGTCATGGTATGGAGGTAAACGGTCATGGTATGGAGGTAAACGGTCATGGTATGGAGGTAAACGGTCATGGTATGGAGGTAAACGGTCATGGTATGGAGGTAAACGGTCATGGTATGGAGGTAAACGGTCATGGTATGGAGGTAAACGGTCATGGTATGGAGGTAAACGGTCATGGTATGGAGGTAAACGGTCATGGTATGGAGGTAAACGGTCATGGTATGGAGGTAAACGGTCATGGTATGGAGGTAAACGGTCATGGTATGGAGGTAAACGGTCATGGTATGGAGGTAAACGGTCATGGTATGGAGGTAAACGGTCATGGTATGGAGGTAAACGGTCATGGTATGGAGGTAAACGGTCATGGTATGGAGGTAAACGGTCATGGTATGGAGGTAAACGGTCATGGTATGGAGGTAAACGGTCATGGTATGGAGGTAAACGGTCATGGTATGGAGGTAAACGGTCATGGTATGGAGGTAAACGGTCATGGTATGGAGGTAAACGGTCATGGTATGGAGGTAAACGGTCATGGTATGGAGGTAAACGGTCATGGTATGGAGGTAAACGGTCATGGTATGGAGGTAAACGGTCATGGTATGGAGGTAAACGGTCATGGTATGGAGGTAAACGGTCATGGTATGGAGGTAAACGGTCATGGTATGGAGGTAAACGGTCATGGTATGGAGGTAAACGGTCATGGTATGGAGGTAAACGGTCATGGTATGGAGGTAAACGGTCATGGTATGGAGGTAAACGGTCATGGTATGGAGGTAAACGGTCATGGTATGGAGGTAAACGGTCATGGTATGGAGGTAAACGGTCATGGTATGGAGGTAAACGGTCATGGTATGGAGGTAAACGGTCATGGTATGGAGGTAAACGGTCATGGTATGGAGGTAAACGGTCATGGTATGGAGGTAAACGGTCATGGTATGGAGGTAAACGGTCATGGTATGGAGGTAAACGGTCATGGTATGGAGGTAAACGGTCATGGTATGGAGGTAAACGGTCATGGTATGGAGGTAAACGGTCATGGTATGGAGGTAAACGGTCATGGTATGGAGGTAAACGGTCATGGTATGGAGGTAAACGGTCATGGTATGGAGGTAAACGGTCATGGTATGGAGGTAAACGGTCATGGTATGGAGGTAAACGGTCATGGTATGGAGGTAAACGGTCATGGTATGGAGGTAAACGGTCATGGTATGGAGGTAAACGGTCATGGTATGGAGGTAAACGGTCATGGTATGGAGGTAAACGGTCATGGTATGGAGGTAAACGGTCATGGTATGGAGGTAAACGGTCATGGTATGGAGGTAAACGGTCATGGTATGGAGGTAAACGGTCATGGTATGGAGGTAAACGGTCATGGTATGGAGGTAAACGGTCATGGTATGGAGGTAAACGGTCATGGTATGGAGGTAAACGGTCATGGTATGGAGGTAAACGGTCATGGTATGGAGGTAAACGGTCATGGTATGGAGGTAAACGGTCATGGTATGGAGGTAAACGGTCATGGTATGGAGGTAAACGGTCATGGTATGGAGGTAAACGGTCATGGTATGGAGGTAAACGGTCATGGTATGGAGGTAAACGGTCATGGTATGGAGGTAAACGGTCATGGTATGGAGGTAAACGGTCATGGTATGGAGGTAAACGGTCATGGTATGGAGGTAAACGGTCATGGTATGGAGGTAAACGGTCATGGTATGGAGGTAAACGGTCATGGTATGGAGGTAAACGGTCATGGTATGGAGGTAAACGGTCATGGTATGGAGGTAAACGGTCATGGTATGGAGGTAAACGGTCATGGTATGGAGGTAAACGGTCATGGTATGGAGGTAAACGGTCATGGTATGGAGGTAAACGGTCATGGTATGGAGGTAAACGGTCATGGTATGGAGGTAAACGGTCATGGTATGGAGGTAAACGGTCATGGTATGGAGGTAAACGGTCATGGTATGGAGGTAAACGGTCATGGTATGGAGGTAAACGGTCATGGTATGGAGGTAAACGGTCATGGTATGGAGGTAAACGGTCATGGTATGGAGGTAAACGGTCATGGTATGGAGGTAAACGGTCATGGTATGGAGGTAAACGGACATGGTATGGAGGTAAAAGGTCACGGTATGTAGGTAAACGGTCATGGTATGGAGGTAAACGGTCATGGTATGGAGGAAAACGGTCATGGTATGGAGGTGAACGGTCATGGTATGGAGGTAGGTATGGAGGTAAACGGTCATGGAATGGAGGTAAACGGTCATGGTATGGAGGTAAACGGTCATGGTATGGCGGTAAAAGGTCATGGTATGGAGGTAAACGGTCATGGTATGGAGGTAAAAGGTCATGGTATGGCGGTTTAAGGTCATGGTATGGCGGTAAAAGGTCATGGTATGGAGGTAAAAGATCACGGTATGGAGGTAAAGGGTCATGGTATGGAGGTAAAAGGTCACGATATGGAGGTAAAAGGTCACGGTTTGGAGGAAAAAGGTCATGGTTTGGAGGAAAAAGGTCATGGTATGGCGGTAAAAGGTCATGGTATGGCGGTAAAAGGTCATGGTATGGAGGTGAAAGGTCACGGTATGGAGGTAAAAGGTCACGGTATGGAGGTAAAAGGTCACGATATGGAGGTAAAAGGTCACGGTTTGGAGGCAAAAGGTCACGGTATGGCGGTAAATGGTCACGATATGGAGGTAAAAGGTCATGGTATGGAGGTAAAAGGTAATGGTATGGCGGTAAAAGGTCACGATATGGAGGTTAAAGGTCATGGTATGGAGGTAAACGGTCATGGTATGGAGGTAAAAGGTCACGATATGGAGGTAAAAGGTCATGATATGGTGGTAAAAGGTCATGGTATGGCGATACAATGTCATGGTATGGAGGTAAAAGGTCATGGTATGGAGATAAAAGGTCATGGTATGAAGGTAAAAGGTCACGATATGGAGGTAAAAGGTCATGATATGAAGGTAAAAGGTCATGGTATGAAGGTAAAAGGTCACGATATGGAGTTAAAAGGTCAATGGTATGGAGGTAAAAGGTCATGGTATGGCGGTACAATGTCATGGTATGGAGGTAAAAGGTCAAGATATGGAGGTATTGTTTTCCTAAATTGGTGATCGAAGAAGCCACAATATATATATAAAACAAATGACAAAAGTTTCTTAGTACCTCCCTAAACAGGGGAACTGTTTATTTCTGTATATTCAGATACTCATGATAAGTTTTGGCCATCCTGATTTCTGCAAAGTACCTAATTAGATATCTAAAAACAAAATCGCACCCCTAGTAAGTTTTGCACAACAATAATTCATTTTTGAAGTCATGAGTTGTGCTTGCGCTATTTTCAAATTTTGTAAACAACTTAAAAACTGTCCCGGCTGGCCAACTTTGATGGCATATATGTCATGCGTGCAAATTTAATACAACCAATTGTCATAAACTTGTGTTTTGCTGACGAAATTAGCTAAAGTATGCTTTATCTTTAGAAAGGCCAACGGAAGCTAGTATCTTACACCTTAGAGTAATGGAAAACACTTTTCGATGTGATGCTTCCAATACGACGATTCGGCCAATAAGTGTGTAATCGGATCGGGCTTTCTACAACTTGTGTTTCTCATTTTCAGTGTCACACAAGAGAATACCGCTCAAAATCTGATTTATTGAAAAGGTTTCAGTATTTTTTTTGTCTTCAGGCCGGATAATTTCACTGAGTTATAATGTAGTTATTTGCCATGATATATAATAGATACAGGGTTGTTATAAGAAATTGTTATATTATCAGATATTTGCTTTAATATAGATATAGTTATTCATAATTATTTTTGCGGAAAATAATTCCGCAAAGTTTGAGCAATATTTGACATTTTCTAAATAGAATGACTCAAATATTTAAAAAAAAAATTGAAAGAGCCTACCAACAGCAAACCCTATCGATATTGATTGCAGAGAGCAAAAAAACAAATGTGAATGTAATGTAATGACGATAGTACACACATATAAGAATAAGAGCAAGGATTAGCATATTAAGCGATATTGAAGACAAGCACCAAAATACATTGAAACTCATTTAGTTGAGAAAATCGCATTAAATATTACTTTCTTAAAGCAATAAATTCTTGAAAATTGTAAATTACTAATTTCTGAAAGTTGAAACAATCTTACAGTCCTTGGTCGTCGTGAACTTCGTTACAACAAATGCTTATGCTATGCACAATGTTAATTGCTAATTGGTGGATTGCATGTGAATCATTTTAAAATCTGACGAGTCAAAGGGATCAAGTAAAAAGGAGCTTAACTTTCATTAGGTTAGGAAATCGGGAGAATACCGCGAGCTGCCCCGAGCTACATATGTATACCAAGTGTCGCATAATCACTATCGTGTCATAGAAACGCGCGCTGGAATGATGGACTTTTAGCGTCATTAAGGAAAGCAAGAAGAACTATGTGATTTCAAACTGTATCACTTAGAAGCCACAGAAAGTGACCAGGGGTTGTTTTAGTTTTGTACATGATAGACATGACTGCGAAATACAGAGGGATTCACCCTTAAGGGCAAATGTAATAAACGAAAATGTCATTAAGGAGAGTTGGCGGTGATGAATTCCGCGCCGAGACTACACTGTAAATCTCGTCTGACTCTATGGATATAATTCATACCAATAAAATAATTACCAAAGTTTCTCTTCCGGGTCACATAAAGGCTTGTTAACCATTCAAGTCCCCGGGAGGTTTTACTTGTAGAATTAGTTTTTTTTCTGTTATTCCGGATCTCCAAGTATACGTCAGCCACACTGTCTATTACAACTACTCCAAAAAGTGTCAGTGATTGCCAATGGGGGTATTCACTGGCCGCGGTTATCAGGTTCCGTATCTTAATGAGAAAGGAAAGCTGTACAAAGGATACGGATCGTGTTGAAATTAGAATACTATCTGAAGCATTGATCAGAGTGTCTGTTTCGTCAGTCATCACATAGGCACACTTTGACTGCAACATCTGTTAGGTAAGAATTCGACATATGACAAAGATGTCATCATTACATGAAGTTGTTACCTGCTTGTTGTCTGTGTGGCATTGTCGGGGACATTGAAGTTTGAGTGATGCATTTACCTTAATAGGACGTAAACCCACAACAAACCAGCCCCAGTGAGGAGACTAGCTGTAGGCCACGAGGTGTAAACATATTCCCTATTATATAGGTGGACACGAGGATTGGTCAGTTAACTTTTGAAGCAATTCTGTTGAAATGTTACCATTCTAGCTAACGATTTCAACGAAAGCCAATCAATCAATCAATCTAAGACCTCTTTAATGATATGTACATAATGTTATCGAACAGAGCTAAGACTTGCTATTCAGCATGTGTGTATACAGAATCTGTTGTAAATGAGACCTAATTGAAGGGAATCTTTGTTACGGAAACCAATTAACAATCTCGATTCTAGTAGCTTAATCAACCATGCTTGCACACGTACACATCATAATAATAAATTGTTAAATCGAACCTCCCATTTTGTATGTGTATAACAAATCTTAACGTCTTTAGGGCACAAGAATGAAGCATGGCAAAAGGACGGACGACGGACGGACGGACATGTTGACTAACTAATTCACAATTTTCTTCTAGAAGCTGGAGATACGTATCAACTAACTCACAATTGTACAAGAGGGTTGGGTCGGAAGGGGCATGATAGTTGCTTGTATTGAACATGTAGTTAGCCAATTATTTCCTTTTGATGCTGCTATTCCCAATAATACAATAACTGTACTCTACAAGCAAACACTTTTACATCGGATTTTCAGTCAGTGTTGCAGGTACAGTTGATAGTTAAGCATTACACACACATCGATTTACCAGAGATAAGCTCATTTAGGAGTTAAGCATTTCATACAAATACACTTAACCAGAAATAAGCCCACCATGTTGTATGACATTGGTACTTGGGTTATGGCACACAAACAATTCTTCCTGAAATATTTTATATAATCGACACTTTTTCATGCATTCTATCCGAATCTGTTATCTTAATGTCATTACAGCATGTTTTATTGTGTAAAAAATATCTGTATAAAAACTACATATTTTATTGTGTATAAAATATCTGTATAAAAGCTACATGTTTTATTGTGTATAAAATATCTGTATACAAATGTCAGCGACTTACTGACGGTACACCGTGTTGATATCATCGTGTGTTTTTTCAAAAATGTCACATTTATATTGATGCCTGAATTTGATACAAACGTAATGTGTTGAATTCGATCAGCAGTCCATTAGTGGTGAGTGATCCTAAAAGCTCTTTATTATATTGGTTCTTATGTTACCGAATTCCCCAATATAGGCAGAAGGGAGCAGCTTACACCAGCAGACCGCCATGTTGTTGTCAGCAATGTCCAGTCCTATAGATATTGTTTATACAAGTTATAAAATGTATCAAGTTGTGAAATAAGTATAAAAGCAGTGAGAACTCGGCCCCCCTGGTACATGCGGACTGGTGTAACTGTTGATCAGGTGTGGCAAGCTAACATAGTTAGGACACCCACAACCTTCGAGCGCGACTCACATCGGCACAAGTGTTATATTTATGTGGAAGCTTTTAAGGTTAAAGTAATAACAATTATAAATCAAAAGCGGTTGATACTGTTTGTGTCGTGTTAGACACTTCTCTGCCACCAGTGTTGTTTATAATCGGTGTCGTCTGCTGCTTCACTGAACGATGTGCTACACTAGAAACACGAAAATGTTATTAAGCATTTTGAAGCGGAGGGAAAATCAGATATATTCTTTTTTGGAATGCTTGAATTTGTATATTTTTTTCATTAGATATTGCAATGTAGCGGGAAAGATTTCACAAAGAGCATCGAAACGCTTTTATTTGATCTCACTTTTAATTTTAGGTTTTAAATGCATCAACACAACCCTGCTTTTATGAAAAGATTGAGATCTATTGTAGAATACCAATACTCCTGAACGCTGTCCATTATAATGTGAGATCTATTGTAGATTACCAATACTCCTGAACGCTGTCCATTATTAGGTGAGACATATTGTAGAATACCAATACTCCTGAACGCTGTCCATTTTTAGGTTAGATCTATTGTAGAATACCAATACTCCTGAACGCTATCCATTAGTATGTGAGATCTATTGTAGAATACCAATACTCCTGACCGCTGTCCATTAGTATTTGAGATCTATTGTAGATTACCAATACTCCTGACCGCTGTCCATTAGTATTTGAGATCTATTGTAGATTACCAATACTCCTGATCGCTGTCCATTAGTATGTGCGATCTATTGTAGAATTCCAATACTCCTGAACGTTGTCCATTAGTATGTGAGATCCATTGTAGAATACCAATTCTCCTGAACGCTGTCGAGAACTATTGTAGAATACCACTACTCCTGAACGCTGTTCATTAGTATGTGAGATCTATTGCATTATTATGTGAGATCTATTGTAGAATACCAATACTCCTGAACGCTGTCCATTACTATGTGAGATCTATTGTAGAAAACCAATACTCCTGAACGCTGTCCATTAGTATGTGAGATCTATTGTATAATACCAATACTCCTGAACGCTGTCCAGTATTATGTGAGATCCATTGTAGAATACCAATATTCCGGAACGCTGTCCGTTATTATGTGAGATCTATTGTAGAGTACAATACTTCTTAACACTGTCCATTATTATGTGAGATCTATTGTAGAATTCCAATACTCCTGAACGCTGTCGAGAACTATTGTAGAATACCAATACTCCTGAATGCTGTCCGTTATCATGTGAGATCTATTGTAGAATACCAATACCCCTGAACGCTGTCCATTACTATGTGAGATCTATTGTAGAAAACCAATACTCCTGAACGCTGTCCATTATTATGTGAGATCTATTGTAAAATACCAATACTCCTGCACGCTGTCCATTAGTATGTGAGATCTATTGTAGAATACCAATACTACTGAACGCTGTCCATTATTATGTGAGATCTATTGTAAAATACCAATACTCCTGAACGCTGTCTGTTAGTATGTGAGATCTATTGTAAAATACCAATACTCCTGAACGCTGTCAATTATTATGTGAGATCTATTGTAGAATACCAATACTCCTG